TGAATAGGAGCTGGTATGGACACAAATAAGGTGGTAGATGTGTTTTTTATCTAAATTAAAAAAATAATAATGCTATACACTAGCATAGTCATTACGGCAGTTTATAATTGTAAAATATTGGAAACAATCTTGATGCCCATTGTTGGGACAGTAATTGAATAAACAATGCACAGTCTACAAAATAAGTAGTATACAGTGGTACAAAAAGAATAAGGGCGATCTTGGCCAGATGCAGTGACTCACGCCTGTAATCTCAGCACTTTGGAAGGCCAAGATGGGTTGATCACTTAAGCCCAGGAGTTCGAGACCAGCCTTGGCAACATGGTGAAACCCCATCTCTACCAAAAACACAAAAATTAGCCAGTCTCGTAACCCAGTCTCAAAATAAATAAATACATACATAGGCTAAAATTTTAAAAATAAAATATTTTTAAAAAAAGAAGAAAAGGGAAGATCTCTTCGAAGTAATATGAAATAAATGAGTACTTACTTTAAATAAACCATGATGTGGGCAGAACCCAAAATGAAATACAAATAGCAACAAATGAACCTAAAAGTATTACAAATGAACAATTGCACTGAAAGGATTGAGAACTAAAAGAACTAACATAAGTAAACTTGGAAAACAGTACTTATTGTATTCTGTAAGGTTAAGGTTAAAAAAAAAAGAATGCTAAGCAAATATTATAAGTTAGTACATCTTTTTCATAGGGTGTTAAGTTAGCAATTCTGAAACTCTGTGTGTATATAATACAGTATAAATATAGTATATAGTATATAATATACTATAAATATATACTATAACATATCTATAACTATGTATAAATATATACTGTAATCCTTATACACACACACACACACATAGTGTTGAATAACTAAGTAAATATATTGTGGTTGAGAAACCAATTTTCTCACTTTCTGAGAAAAGACTTAAAAATAAGAAGAAAGGCTAGAACAAATTCTGTAGCATTTGATTGGAATCAAAGGTATCCGTGTGAACTCTTGGTCTTTAATATATATGGAAATGGATACAGAAATAAATATAGAAGAGAAGCGTGTGTGTATACATATAATTGTCAGTTCTGTCTGCCACAATAACTAAAAGCAATTACACCTCAGTAGCAACAAACACACCTAGCCCCCAGATCTTGGTTTCTAAATCTCATTCTCCAATAAAAATCTTCCTTGGAGACATGATGACTCAAGGGCTGGGGCAGGGAAAATACAAGATAAGCCTGCAATATTTTGTGGTCATATGAGACACTACTTATTCAGCTACGGCTGAAATCTGGGTTTCCCAGTGGTTGGTCTAATGTTCTCATGTTATTTTCTCCTTCACCATGTACTAAAACATAGAAAGAGGTTCCACAGACCAACTTTCCTTTCTGTGTCTCCATGCAACCCAACTTAAGCTACCAAGCTGGCAGCTTCTGCTAATACAGGTTGTCTGACTCCCAAGACCAGGAAAGGGATAAAAGATTGCGGAAGTACCACATAAATGCCACTAGAAATTGAAGAGCCTGAAGGCAATACTTTTAATCACCTGGGACAATAAAACAGAATAGCCTAAATTGAAAACTATTTAATTACTAATTCAGGCTACAATAGCAACTTCAACAACTCCTAAAATTCATTCAATTAGTGAAAGACTCTAGCTTCAGTGTCCTCATTAACTATAACAATTTTATAATAGCTACTTGATCTAAATCGCAGAATTCAGTATTTTCTCCAAAAATACTACTCATTATACATCTACTCTATGCCAGGTACAATGCTAGGTAAAAGTAACATATTACACTCTGTTCTTTTTTTTTTTGTTAAGACAGGGTCTCGCTGTGTCACCCAGGCTGGAGTGCAGTGGTGCAATCATGGCTTATTGCAGCCTCAACCTCCTGGACTCAAGTGATCGTCCCACCTCAGCTTCCCAAGTAGCTGGAACCGCAGGCATATGCCACCATGCTCAGCTAATTTTCAGTGTTTTGTACAGATGGGGTCTTGCTACATCACTCAGTCTGGTCTCAAATTCCTGGGCTCAAGCAATCCTACCACCTCAGCCTCACAAAGTGTTGAAATTACAGGCATGATCCACCACATCCCGCCTATTCTCTGTTTATTAACAAATTACTTTTAAGTTCACTGACTTTTTCTCTGCAACACAGGCTTTGATCAAGAAGGAGTTTAGATAATCCAATAACTTCATTTTTATGAGAAAAATTGTTCAGAAAAGAAGTACTCTCTCTGTTCATGGTCTTATACATAGATGGGAAGTGTGTATGAAGATCTGATACAGAAGTATTTATAATATTTAATGTTATATTTAATGTTATATCTTTCTTATTTTAAAAATCTGATGTGTAAATATCATTTGTCCTTTCAGTTTGAGATACTGAATTTTCCTTCCTTTCCACCACCTTACTTCCCTGGGGTCATTTCCAACTACCCTCTACCCCACACCCTATACTCTTAGCAATGCTGATATTCGTCTCTCACACATCATGATTTTGCAATACATTCATGCTGTACATGCTGTTCCCTATGCTAAAACGCTCACCATCTAATTTCCTTGGCCAATTGGTAAAACTTGCATTCATTCTTCAACACTCAACTCAGAAGTAACTTCCTCTTCAAAAGCTTCTGAATGACCCCCCAACACACACACACACACACACACACTTTCCTTTTGTTATTTCAAGAGCACATGCATACCAATCATTTATAAATTCATACTATGATCATGTTTTTATAATTTATCTGCCTATCAAACAAGATTTTGAACTAATTAAGGACAAGGACAGCCTTATCCACCTCAGTGTCCTCAGAAATTAAGAGTATGCCTGGAGCGTAGTAGAAGCTCAAGAATTGTTGAACTGAACTTCATATTGTAATATACTTAATCTATAAGAAACATTAATACTGAAGAAAAATATAATTATGTTTAAAGAATCGCAACAACTACATTTCATAAATTTAAACTTTTCTTCACACATAAAAGTTATATTAATAGGACAAAAAGATCTATACTGATAATTAAATGTACATGGAAAATTCACTACTGGAGGTGGAGTATCTCCTTTCTATTCGTTCAAATTTTGTAACTCAATGTCAAAGCATACCTGAAAGTATCAGTATCAGTTTGAGATTTCTATTTACCTACATTAGGACCATCTCAACTTTATACAAGCTGTCCCTCCACTACCACATCTATGCTAGCATCACATTTTTAGTTACCTGCAGCTTGCTATTATGACACGTGATACCTTAGAAACTTACTTTGTAAATAGGTTATGTCATAATGTGTATAGAAAACTAAGTGAAAAGTATTAAACAGTACCTTTAATTTTTTAAGGGTTAACTTAACAAGGATTTATTCACAGGAATACATGTATGTAGAGAAAAATAACAGAAAAGCTAAACAAATGAAATGAAGAGGATCCAAACCAACTTTCACTCTATAGCTTTTAACTTGCAACCTGTGTACATATATCTACAGCACAGAGGGCCACCAACATGCACCAAAATACAGTATAGGAACCCTGCCTTACACTCATTAACTTAAACATATCTTTAAGATCACACTTTGAACAACAAAAAAGGAAGCTTAGAAGGCAGTGTGTTGAGTGGGAATAAACACTGAAATACAGCAATCATTTTTCAATTTCTACAACTGTCTTTATGTGCCAACTAACATTTATGTAGTCTTTTACAGATCTTTTACCACGTAATTTAAATGTTAGAAGTTTTGATAAAATCATGAGTAGTATATAACCATGCAGAAAGCACATCACACTGACAGCACAGAGGCAAAGAGTTTGCACAGGTATATCAGCTTTCCACATTGCGCAGGTCACACACAATGCAGTATCAATCTTATTCCTAACAGATCCTAAAAAAGATATTTCAAGGACTAGCTGTAAACTACAGTACTTTATATATCTATATTCTTAATAAAAATAAAACCCACAAATCTTAAAAGGGAACTTTAAATGCAGGGTTACACTAAATGGGTAAACTGCATCACAAATTTCTGCAACACAGGTAAATGAATACCAATCTCACTCTATATGATGCAAGCATGCTACTTTCCCACTAATTTAAATTACTTTCAACCACTATGAGCCAGAATGCATGCCTGAACCTTAAACTACACTTTAAAAAATAACATATTGGCCTAGAAATTAAATCTAATGAAGTACAGCCATCAAATTATATCCACTACATTAATGTTAAATGCAAAATTAAGATATCATCTTTAGTTTGATATATCAAACCCCATTTATTTCACCCTCTGTGCCCACCCTAAAAAAGGTAAAAGGAGTGACTCATTTGGCATTTCACAGAGTGCTTCATTGTTTATGTTTGTTTTGTTTTATTTCCAACTTTTTTGGGGTACCTTAAATTGTAACTTCCAAGAACCTGCTTCTACTACAGGAAGGCAAGCTGATTTTAACTATATTAGTTCTGTTTGTGTAGTTCTTCATCAACATGCAAAACAAGGCCCCATCACGTGGGAAAACTTGGATAAAAAAAAAAAACAACTTTAAATTAAAAAAGAAAAAAGCTTCTTTACTATTTGTAGCTCCCATTCTTAGGTTTCCTTTATTGTGCGCTGTAAAATTGTTCCTCTTTCTTGTCCCCATCCATCATTTATATGGTTCCTGTTTTGGTACAATTCTCCATAATATTCCACAATGTGCTGTTTTGTGAGTAGACTGAACAGATTTTTTTTTTTCTTCTTCAAATCCAGTGCGGAGTTGTAACTGGAGACATATTTCCACCCACAAAGGCTCTAGATGTTAAAACGTTTTCCAACATCGACTTAATACAGTGACGGCAACACCTCCCTCCTGCCCCTCTCAGTACGGTGGGGACTGTAGTGTATTGCCTACTGGTTTACCCTTTTCCGCGTAAAGGGTAGCATTTTCCCTGAGGGCAGAGGCTCCCTCATAGTCTCCAAGACTGAAGGACCCCAAATTTTGGGACTGCAGCTTAAGTGTATTAGATTAAACACCATAAACAGCTGCAAGATGCTCTTTTTAAGAGAAGAGGAAACTGGTTAGAGAAATGCCTCCAATTTTATTGCCAACTTGATTTTTAAATCCATGAAGGATCTCACAGAACATGTCTCTGAGATCATCTTTTGGGTTAATCCATGATGTAACAGCATCACACAAAAAAATACATAAAATCTTGGATTACACCACTGGGATTCACAATGATCATGGTACAAATTCCACGGAATGCTGAATCCTTTTCCTCATTGTCTCTTATGTTTCTCAGAGAGGTGCACCAGGGTCTTCATACTGCTGTAGCATCGGGGCCACCTCTTGAAGACACACGTAACCAAGACGGCCAATCGTTATTGCTGTATTCTCTAACAATGTCTTTGGTGTGTTGGGTCTGTTAATGATTTCTACAAGCTGGTGCAACACCATAGGAATATAAGGCCGCATCTCTATACCCATTTGAATGGAGATTTCTCCAACTGCCCATGTGGCATTGCTGCAGACTGAAAAGAATTCTGGATTTGGGTTGGTTCCCAATATTGGCATGAAATCAGCTATACAAGGCTGAACATGCTAAAAGTAAGCTTTTGTGAGGTCACCTAAAGGGTCAAAAGAACTCTGTCGAACTTCTAGCATTTTATCCTGCCTTCACTGATACATTCGTGTTAGGATGTTACTTCAGGTTACCAGCTGTTCAATGTTGCCTCCAAGTCCTTCAGCCAGGCCACTCAGTAGATCAAGAGCCACTATCATAAAATCTTTATCTGGAGCTTCATATTGATCTGGATGCGCATTGTTTAGCACGGCTTGTGCAAGAGTCTTCCTCATTGTCTCTTACACAGGTTCACAGTACGGAAGAAAGCCAGACTGCAGTGCTGTGGCAACTGAAGATAGGCACTCAGGTAAAGGAAAGAGATCCTTATCTTCATCATTTAACATGTTCCATTTCTGGGTCAGTGGAGGCATTAGCATCTGAATATATTCTAGTTTGTTTGAATGATGTCCTACTGAATCAGCTAATGTTCCTAAGGCATTGTAAAGCATGAGTAGGTTCTTATGCTGGTATTTACTAAATGCAAAGACCAGGGTATCAAGTATATAAGCAAAGTGAGGAACAAGTTCTGTACAAGCCTCCTCTTCCAGGGTAGCAAAGGCACTGTCGGCAGCTTCTTGTACTCTCTTGTTGCTATCCAGGATGCGCTTTAGCAGTTGTCATTAATGGCTTCAGGTACATGTCTGGTGGCTGGCTGACTACCCAGTATGCATAGTGGCTAAGAGTCCAGCATGTTATGGAATGTACAAGAGTCATTTTATCAGTGAGGCATTGAATAAAGTGAGGAACAAGCTCGGGCAAGTATGGAATAATGCCCTGCATGCAACCTTCAGCAATTGCTCCTAAAACCAAGATGCCTGATTCTTTAACAACCCATTCATGACGAAAAAGTAATTCTTTCAAAAGGGGTGGAATATGTGGCAGCAGTTCATCATGATACACATTTGCAAGAACACCTAGGGCAGCAGCAGAACATTTTCTTAGATTCCAGTCAGAAATTGTATCATCATCAGCAATTTCATCATCATCATCTTCCTCTTCAATTCCATCTTCATCATATTGCTGAGCCATTGTCCTTGATCAGTGAAAACATGGCCATATATCTTGAGTCTTACATAGAACATACTCAACTATATTATACATGTGAGGCAACAGGCGATCCATTCGAACTTCAAATAATCACAAGTACTTGGCACACATGTTTCCGTGCCTCTGGTTCTTCATCACTAGCCAATGCAAAGAGATTCTCAATAAAAGAATCAATGTGCAACATTAGAGCTTGGGTCCTACTGATGATAAACTGATTGACACGTGCAACAGCGCGAGACCTTATTTCTGGACTACTGTGCTTTAAGAACTATAAAAATTTGGGAATCATGATGTTGAAAGGATGATCTAAATCATAACTACCTAAAATCTCAGCAGAATCTTCACAAATCTTCTGAAGGGTGCCAAATGCTCCCTCATGGGTGTTGTAATCTTCAGCATACAGGCTACAGAGTTTTGGTAAGAGGTCAGGCCAATTCTGTAATTCTCCCTTGGAGGCTAGAGTTGTGATCACAATACTAATGGTGGCTCTAATCAGAGGAGAGGAGTCACCAATATTATTTAAACATTCACTTTTAATAAAAGTCTGTTATACCATATGGGAAGTTCTTAAAGTGTACTTTCACATTATTCTTCAAGATGAGATCTTGTGGGCTCATCTTCAGATTTTAATTTTGTAAGAACAAAAATCAAGTAGTTGTTAAAGTCTGAATATTTATTAAGTTGTTCCAGTTTTTGTTGCACGGTTCTCTGGATGGTGGTGTCTGGGGACTGCGACTCCTTTAACAGCTGCAGGATTTGCTGAAGCCTGTGCTTGTCAGGTTTCCACTCATACTCCATCTTAGTTTGCTGGGGTGCCCCGAAGGAAGTCTCGAATGGCAAAATCCAGCGGAACTGCTCCTGGCAGCCCGGCTGCCAACATCTGTTTCTGCTGCTGCTGCCGTCACGGCCACCCAGCGCCAGTACCTTTAATTTAAATGTTTCTATTTATTTTCAATTAAAAGGCAATATTTATCACATGTCATCATGACACCCATTTCAGCAACTATTTATTTTGTCCTTATTTGGTGCCAGAAACTTATAGGAGAGATAAGGAGATAATAAAGTATCAACTATACATTCAGGAACATGTAGTAGTAACTAGAGATTAAAAGTGACTAGACAGACTGAAATAAAAGTGAGAACAGATTATGAAAAGAAAAAAGCCAAAGTGTAGATATGACACAGAAGGAATGGGAAAGCCACAAGAAAAGTAACAAGTCAAACTGGTGACAAAATAATTTGGCAAAATGAATCAAAGCAGAAACACTAGCTATAACTTCTAAAGGTAGGGAGGTGATGTTTTTCATCACTACAGTCAATCAATAATGGAATTTGGTCAACTGTACCCTCTAAACCCATTTTCAAAACTACCCACCCCTCCAGAACTCCACTTTTGCCACCACAATGTTATAAGCTACTACCACTGCTGACTTGAATATTAGCTTCCATGATCCTGTCTAGCTCCCCTCTAATTCAATCTTCATACAGAGCATTTTAAAAATGTAAACTGAACTAAATTTTTTGGAGTTTAAAATTCTCCAAATGCTTGCCTTCAATTTCTAAGGCAAAGATCCAAATCCTTCAAGCTCTATGAAAGCTCTGTACTGACAGCCTCTTCTCCTGCCACTTCTTTCCTCTGAGTCAGTGCTCAGGATATCCTGGCCTTCTCATAGTTCCTCATACACTCCACAATCCCTCCCGCCCTTTCCTAAAGCATTCAACATTCTTCCAGCCGTAGCAAATAGAAAGCAATTTTTAAAAGCAAGCTGAACATAAATGAATGAACCAAAAAGAAACATAAAAAGAAAACCCTCCATATACTGCCTTTTCTCCTTTTGTTTGTTCTCAGACTCTACTATAGTTTGGTACAGAGATAAAAACAAGTGTGGAAGCAGATAATCTGAATGTTTGGTTTTCAAAAAAGGTTTCTCCAACAAGAGTCCAAGTGAACCATTCTCCAAAAGGGAGTCTTTTGGTAACAGACAGAAAACAGAGAACAGTGCTAAACAGGTTCTTCTTTACCTTAAAGGAGAAACCCAGTATAAATCTATGGTGGCAGTAAAAACAATGACTTGGGAGTCAGTTGTTCCGATTTTTAATTACTCTGTACTGCTAGAGTGACTATGTGACTTTACCTTTCTAGGCCTCAGTATCTTTATGAAATAAATGGATAAGACTAAATAATCTCTATGACCTTGATTCTATAGCATCTAATTTTTCTGCTTATAAAATATACTACAGCTTTGTCAAACAGTAAAAGTCCAAGTGAATGGAAGAACAGAGGTCTACATGCTTTTCTAGAGCATCCAGGGGAACACAGCCTTGCCCCAGTGGGACACATTTTGGACTTGAGCTTCAAAATGGTAAGATAGATGCTATTTTAAACTACTAACTGTGGTAATATGTCACAGCAATGAGAGAAAACTAATACATCAACAGATTTACAAATGTGTTTTTTATTCAGCCTGACCCTAATTACAAAAAAAAAAAAAAAGTCCTGGGTACCTAGAACCCTTAATGAGATTCTTTTAAAGGACAGTATCTCTACAAATACACCACAAACATAGTATCATATGTGCTATTTTTTTCTAAATAAACAATGTTTTTCCGTTTTCAAATAATTTTGAAATAGATGCTTCTTGAATCTTTAGGATTGAGCTGATCTCAGGATTCTTACAAATCCTTCCAACATTAGTTGCTGTGCACTTTCATGACTGATTATAATTAAACACTATCACATAAACTGACCATTAAGATAATCTAATTCGGATTCCCTAAAAATCAGAGTTTACACCAAATTTTTGAAATATTGTTTGAAAAAAATGAAGCTTTCAGCTTTCTGCACACTTCTAGTTTCAAGCTTCCATATTAATCACACTAAATGATCCAGATCCTATAAAGCTTATTACACACAGAAGCATTTTTCATGATTTTTTAATGTCATTCATTTTGATAATAAAGCAGATACATGCCTGGCCAGGCACAGTGGCTCATGCCTGTAATCCCAGCACTTTGGGAGGCCAAAGCAGGTGGATCACTTGAGATCAAAGCTCGAGACTAGCCTGGCCAACATGGTGAAACCCTATCTCCACTAAAAAGACAAAAATTAGCCGGGCATGGTGGTGTGTGCCTGTAATCCCAGCTACTCAAAGAATCACTTGAACCCAAGAGGCAGAAGTTGCAGTGAGTTGAGATCAAGATCGCGCCACCACACTCCAGCATGGGTGACAGAGCAGGACTCCATAAAAAAGAAAAAACAAAACAAAACAAAACAGATACATGTTAAGTCTTAGAATATTTATACTGCATCTGTATTATTAAGATTAAGATGTCCCAGATCATCTCCATAAATCATCCTTCAAATAATCCATGCATTAATGGTGTAGAGGTTTCAGAGCCCAAGTAGGATGAGAAAGACATCAATGTGGAAAAGGATATGGTGGCAGAAGTGAAGTGGGTTACAAAGAATGAAGTTAATCAAATAAGAACAGTCATGCACCATATGACAACATTTTGGTCAATGACTGACTGCATATAAATCTGGTCCCTTAAGATTATAATGGAGCTGAAAAATTCCTATTGCCTAGTAACATAATGATGTCGTAACTGTCATAACATCATAGAGCGGTGCATTACCTTTTCTATATTTAGATATGCTTGGATACACAAATATCATTATTGTTATAATTGCCTACAGTATTCAATAAGGTAACATGCTATACAGGTTTGTATCCTAAGAGCAATAGGCTAATACCACATAGCCTAGGTATATAGTAGGCTACAACATCTAAGTTTGTGTAAGTACATTCTATGATGCTTGCACAACAATGGAATTACCTAACACATTTCTCAGAATGTATCTCCATTGTTAAATAATGCGTAACTGTAAATATTTTAAGTATAATAATGGAAGTCAGGTTTATCACCATCAGAGACGGAGGTTGCAAATATAGAAAAGGAAAAAACTAGAATTGAAACCTGTGGTGTTAGGATGGAATTGGTGGTATTAGTGTGAATTCATGGTTTTCAAAATATATAAATAATGTGGACATAAATATTGATACATGTGTGTGCAAGTATATATGTGTATATATATATTCCCCAGCTCTCATCACTGAAGATGTCTGTGAGCAGCAACTTTTCAATAGCAGTGAACACATCTAGCCCCTAAAACTTGGCTCCGAAACAGCATTTCCTAATAAAAAGAACAAGGGCTCTAGGAGAAATCACTCATTCCAGGCCTAGGGCAGAAAAAAATGAAAGATGAGACTAAATCATCTTGTACAAAAGAGCAAGGGAGTGTTCAAAGAATTACGAGAGATAGAAGAAAAAAGCACAGGAGTCTGTTTGAAGGAGCACTCACTGGCCAGGAGACTGAAGAGACTAAAGTACATGATAAAACCAACGTGTCATTCTAACATGGATCTTTTTACTATAGAAGATATTATTGCCTTCAGTTTTTGGCTCAGAAGAAGCCAAGGTGTAACTCTCTTTGGTTGTACCAAATCCAGGTTCATCTGACACCAGCTGCCTCCACCACGCTGCTGAAGTTCCACCCCAATGAGATCAAAGTTGTGTATCTGAGGTGTACCGAGGTAAAGTCAACGCCATGTCTGCACTGGCCCCCAAGATCGGCCCCCAGGGTCTGCCTCCAAAAAAGGTTGGTGATAATATTGCCAAGGCAACCAGTACCTGGAAGGGTCTGAGAATTACAGTGAAACTGACTATTCAGAATAGACAGGCCCAGATTGATGTGGCACCTTCTCCTTCTGCACTGATCATCAAAGCCCTCAAGGAACCGCCAGGAGACAGAAAGAAACAGGAAAATATTAAACAAGGTGAAAATATCACTTTTGATGAGACTGTCAACATTGCTCGACAGATGGGGCACCGATCTTTAGCCAGAGAACTCTCTGGAACCATTAAAGAGATCCTGGGGACTGCCTAGTCGGTGGGCTGCAATGCTGATGGCCGTCACCCTCATGACATCGTAGATGACATAAACAGTGGTGTGGCAGAATGGCCAGCTAGTTAAGAAGCACAAAGGAAAATATTTCAATAAAGGATCATTTGACAACTAAAAAAAAAAAAGAAAAGATATTATTGGTCAGATGGAGGAACTTGAATGGGGTCTGAGGATTTGGTGGTAGTAATCTATTCATGTTAATTTCATGATGCAGATGGTTATTCTGTGATTATACAGGAAAATGTTCTTGTTTCCAAGAAATATACATTAAAGCAGGAGTCTCTAACCCCTGGGCCATGGACTAGTACCAGTCTATGGCCAGTTAAGAACTGGGTTGCACAGCAAAAGGTGAGCAGCAAGCAAGTCAGCATTACTGCCTGAGCTCCACCTCCTGTCAGATCACCAGCAGCAATAGACTCTCATACGAGAGTGAACCCTATTGTGTACTGTGCACATGAAGGATCTAGGTTGCACACACTTTATGAGAATCTAATGCCTGATGATCTGAGGTGGAAGGGTTTCACCCTAAAACCATCTCCATTTGCACTCCAGTCCACGGAAAAACTGTCTTCCACAAAACCAGTCCCTGGTGGCAGAAAGTTTGGGAATTACTGTATTAAAGTATCTGAAGGCCATAGGGCTTCAGGTAGGAAGATTATGTTTAAATGGCTCAACGGGGTGGGGGGAGTCATTTGTACTTTTTGCTGTCACTTTTTAATAGATACAAGAACACTAGTTTCTGCATCACTTTGTAGAGACCATCAATACCACCTCCCCAACCCTTCCCACCACTTCATGAGTATTAATGAATGGGGAAAATAACACTCTACAGTGGCCTCAGTAGAAAAGATTTTAAAAAGGCTATTTATTCACAGTGAAAGGACAAATGTAAACAAGGCAAAGTCCAGCCATGAAATAACCTTATGGATCACAAACCAAAATTTGAGACTT